GGGGCTGCAGACCGTTTGTTTGCCTGTCACGTAAAAGGCACTCTCTTCTGTTTGCTCCTAGCCATTGAACAGAGTTTTGACCAGGATGAGGGTGGGAACAGGACATCCGTGGACCTTCGGATACGACGGACGCAGGTTTGCTGAGGCCCCTCCAGACTGAGGTCGTTAGTGCCCAAGGTTGAGTAGCGGGCTCAGGATACGGCTGTAGACTGCTGTCTTCTGGTGACCCCTGGGGCAGATGAATGGCCCCACAGGGTTTTCTAGCCTGTCATCATTGTGGCAGAAGAGCACCGGTGGCTACAGTGTACGTGCCTATATTACAAAGAAAACCCCTGCTTCCAGCCCACCGGCAGAGTTGTGTTCTGAAGAGCAGAGAATTCCCCAGGTCTTGCCAGTGTTGGGGGTCAGGCCCTCATGGGGAGAGTGGTTGGAGGTGATGTTTGGACTCTCCCTAACAAAGTGGCCGTGGAGTTCCAAGCATGATCCCCATTTTATTTGTAGAACCTGTGGCCACCAGCCCCCAAGCTGTGGCGTTCCCTCCTTTACACACAGCGGGGCTGTCTGGTGAGAGTATCCGCTGTGTGAAATGTGGTGACCCACAGGGAGAGAAGCCCTTTGAAGACAGCCTGTGGCAGTCTGAGCTTCCGGGGTGGAATGTCCTTGAGTAGAAGACACGACCACCCTGTACGTCTCATCCCGATGTTTCTCTGTTGTTAGCACTCAGTGCTGTCCCGGAAGTTTGTGGAGGTCATGACAGAGTACAACGAGGCTCAGACCCTGTTTCGGGAGCGAAGCAAAGGGCGCATACAGCGTCAGCTGGAGATAAGTGAGTGGAGGGGAACTTTCCCTGACTTAAAACACACATTTCAGAGTACTTAACATTAAAAAAAAAAAAGTAGGTTCATTCTTGCTTTTACCAATATTATAACACCAAAAGACCTTGCATAATTTCCTGCCGGTTGGGTCACCCCAGACTGCTTGAGTCATCTCAAGCTATTGATTATTTAGGTCTGGCAGGAAATTCCAGGTGATTGGGTTCAAGTGACCATTACTATTAGAGTTCTTGGAGCCCTGGAGGTACAGTGGCTAAGTACGTGGCCTCTAACTGGAAGGCCGGTAGTTTAAACCCACCAGCAGCCGCTCTGTGGGAGCAGGATGAGGCCAACGGGGCAGTTCTCCTCTGTGCTGTGGCGGGGGGTGGGTTAGATGGTGGGTTTGAACTGCTGACCTTGCAGTGAGCAGCCCGTTTATTCCACAGTGTCACCAGGGCTGACTTTTCTCCTCATTAAGGGTTTGTGTTTTTGCATGTCAGGCACTGTGAATTTTACCTTGTTTAGTGCTGGATATTCTTGTATTTCCTGAAGACGTACTTGGGTTTTGTTTTGGAATGCAGTGAAACCACCACAGGTAAATCCTTTGAGGTCTGGGCAAAAACGATGAAGTTTTTCATTAATATTTCCAGTTATTCCTGATTTCTTAAGTCATAGGTGAATTTTCCCCATCCTTAATACTTGCCTCAGAGAGTATATTTGAAGGCATAGAAAACCATTGACAATCTTAACAGCTCAGTTAGATTTTAGTTGGGGCCTTCTGGTTGAAAAAGTCCTCATTTTAGAACACTCGATGGATGTTTTCATTGTCCATCTTTCAGCCGGAAAGACCATGACCGATGATGAACTTGAGGAGATGCTGGAGAGTGGGAACCCTTCCATTTTCACCTCAGATGTGAGTGCCCTGTGTCTTCCTGTCTCTCCTGTTTGCCGTCAGCTTCCCAACCGTCATAACTTCATCACGCTTTCTCTCTCTCCTGTGCTTTCCAAAGATTATATCAGATTCACAGATCACAAGACAGGCTCTCAATGAAATTGAGTCACGTCACAAAGATATTATGAAATTGGAAACCAGTATCCGCGAGCTGCATGAGATGTTCATGGACATGGCTATGTTTGTTGAGACTCAGGTAATCGTGTAGCGTTCTCTCGTGGGTGAACCCTCCTGCTCGTCTCCGCTATCTACCTGGCAAAATGATTGCATGGGGGCGGTCTCAGTGTCACTGCAGTGTTAAACCCTGCAGCACTGGGAGCAAGGACAGTTCCTTGGAGACGGTCTGCTGAATTAAGCGGAGCCATGTCCGTAGGGCAGTCTGCGAGGCAGCTGCGTGCACAGGACGCAGTCTCTGCATGCGTTGCCAGCCTTTTGAAGACCATTGTTTATTCTGGGGAGTTTTATCATAAAACTGTGTGGAAAACATAGATGCTATGAGCTTGCAGGATACAGCCAACAGTCACACAGAGGGGGCGGGAATGGAAAATTTCTATTTTTAAAAAAATTTTGGGTGGGCCCCTTGCCATCCATGCTGTGAGAAATGGGGGAGTGAGGTGGTACTCCCACCCGCTTTTTATTTTCAGGAAGTATTCCAAATGAAAGCAAATTAGACAGCCAGACTCTTAAGACAGTGGTGCAGTTCCAGAGATTTTATTATCTCATAGACCTTCATTTTCATTACTCTGTACCAAATGTATTGCTTTAAGCTCCATTAGGAAAATCCTGTTCATTTGGCGTTGCCTCATGGTTTGCTATTAGACATATCAATATTGGTTTCAATCGGTTCATCTACTTCCAATGCATGTGTAGTTGAAACTTAGCAGTAAATCTGCCTTTGTGAATGAACACTTTGACTGTGCGTCACTCTTCAATGCTTTGCTGTTCACTGCTGCAGAGTATGTCTGTCATGGACGGGAAACCAGGTAACGTGTCTCCTCCCTACCATTTCACTGGGGTCACCTCTGTTTACATTCTTGCCCATTCATGCAGTTACGTCATGCCAAACATAGGCTACGTTTAGTTTGCTGATATTTTAAAGAAATAGCAACAATGTTTTACCCCTTAGAAAATACATTGTATGTTTGTGCATAACCCTGAACTGTTAGCTTGACCTGCATACGCTTCCTTCCTGTGGCCGTGCTCATCTGGGAAGAGAATTTCCACACTTCAGTGTCTAACTGAGATGCCTTAAATACCAGCATCGCACCCCACCCTCCCCGAGGTCCTTTCAAAATAGAAAATACATTCTGAGTGTTGTGTGTTATCTTGAGCCTCACCTTTTACCTCTCTGTCAGTGTGGAAGTGAACACACTCAGGACCCATCACATGTGCCTCATGCTTGTAGAAAAGTCTCCTGTTTTGTGGTTATCTTCAGATACCTAATCAAGTCATTTGAAAATGTCTCCTGAGTTTGGAACTTCTTATTTTAAGGGTGAAATGATCAACAACATAGAAAAAAACGTTATGAATGCTGCAGACTATGTAGAACATGCTAAAGAAGAAACTAAAAAAGCTATTAAATATCAGAGCAAAGCAAGAAGGGTGAGTTTGGTTTTTAAGAATGTATCATTTCCCCCTTTTGTCTGGTGTCACGCTGTCATGCACAGTGTAAACCTGGTTATAAGGTAGTTGAAGAAATAAAAGCTTTCTCATGCAAGGCTTCATGGTAAATCCGAAGCTGTTAGTTTTAAAAGTCTGTTAGACACATTACGGTGACTATCAACCCTTTCGTGTACTCTGAGTAATTAACCCATCACACCTTCACACCCAGTTCCCCCTCTTGGCGCTTGGCCAAGCTTAAAGCCCAGTGCTCTCTGTTTCTTGTGCCAGGATTTGGAGGAAGGCACAAAACTGACAGGATTGGAAATTCTCCTTTAAAATTATTGGCTGCACCATACATGTGAACTCGTAATTTTTTTATATAGGCTATTTGCTAATTCATTTGTTTGGATAAAATTTTTCTTGAGGCTGTGCAGTTGAGAGACCCACATAAAAGGTCCGCAGAAGAAAAGGGGTCCCTTTCTGCTTAGGATCCACATATTTTACCTTTAATAAGGGTTAGATGAGCCCAACTGAAGTTTTTTGTTATTGGGACTAAAATCTAAGACTTTTGGTTTAGATTGATATAGATATTTTATTGTTATTCCTCTAAAACTTGAGGTAGATTTTCACATAGTCACCCCTCTTTGCTTGGTATACAGAGAAGCTGTGACTTAAGCTTTATAAATGCTTTTTAATATTATCTGAATCTCAAGTGTGTCGTGTGTGAATATAAGATCTTGTAAGTAAAAAAAAAAATCTTCTAAGAAAATAACTAAAAATGTGTTTTGGTTTTGGGAAAGAAACAGTGGCCAGGACTCTCCTTGTGTCTCCTGGCCCTCCGCCCTTGTTTCTTTCTCTCCTGTGTGGGGCAGGATCCCACCTCTGACCCCTGTTCCCAGAGTTTGTCATTGCATGTCTTCCGGGGTGGGGGTGGAGGGGTGGGGTGGGGGTCTCTGTATTTCTACCTTGCTGATTAGACCTGAAGTTTGTGCATCATTCAGAGTGGAAAGTGGTAAAAAATATGATGCCTGCTTTCAGGAATTATAAAAGCTGATTTACTAATTACTAATTAGAGGCTTCGATGCTCCACTGCTAATTCTGTTCTAGATGTTGGTGGTCCCCTGGCCAACTGCCCCCTGTTTTTACCACCTCAGGCAGGTGGAAGCCTGGGGCTTGTGTAGAGAAACTTGTTCAATCTGGCGAGGTGGGCAAACAAGCAAGCACATGCTGGGCACAGAGTGCAGGACTCGTTACATAGATAACTGCTTTCTCAGCTTACTGAGCTGGCTGGATAGCTCCATATACATGAAAATCATGTTGTACTCCTCTGTCTCATTCCATCAGCAATTTATCCAAGTAACATGACCATATTTCCCTCCTCTCTGTCAAAGAAATCTAATTTCCCAGCATTCTCTAGCAGTGTTATGGGCTGAATTGTGTCCTCCCAAAATATGTGTTTGAAATCTTAATACCAATACCTGTGGTTATAATTCCTTCTGGGAATAAGTATTCTGTTGTGTTAACGGGGCAGGACTAGTGTGGGGTGTGTTTTGAGTTAATAATCTATTATAAGAGATCCAGAGAGCCGATTAGGCAGCAGAGATGGGAGGTGGGGTGGAAGATAGATCTTCAAGGAACCAGGAAACAGAAGCTGCAGAGATAAAGACCTTCTTCCAGAGCAGCGGTTCTCAACCTGTGGGTCGTGACCCCTGGGGGACGAACGACCCTTTCACAGGGGTCAGCTGATTCATAATAGTAGCAAACTTACAGTTATGAAGTAGCAACGAAAATAATTTTATGATTGGGGGCCACCACCACATGAGAGACTATGAAAGGGTCGCAGCATTAGGAAGGTTGAGAACCACTGCTCTAGGGCCCACAGAGAAAGCTTTCCCCCAGAGCTAGAGCCTTGCCTGAAGACTTCTCACTTTCTCGACCGTGAGAAAACACTTGTTTGTTGAAATTACCCACTTGGGTATGTCTATTATAGCGGCACTAGAAAACTGAGACGAGCAGTTTGTAGATAGTCTGACCTTAAATTAAGTCTTTTATTTATTAATTTTGGACACCCAAAAAATGCCCAACAGGGTTAAGCTGAAGCCCTTTGATGTAGATGGGAGAAACAAGTCCTACTGGGTCATTTAAAAATAAATGATGTCCTTCAAGGTGGCACGATGGGCTAAAGTATGACATAATCGGTTTGCATTTTCTTTGACAGAAAAAGTGGATAATTGTTGCTGTGTCAGTGGTTCTGGTGGCCGTAATTGCTCTAATTATTGGGTTCTCAGTTGGCAAGTGATGGTGCAGATGATGGCAGTATGCATGCGCGGCAGTAAGTAACTAATCAGCTCATTTACTCATTAACACTTTCAACCAGCCAGACTTGGCCTATTAATTGACTGAATACTAAAAGCTTGGCTGCCCCCTCTGCGTGTTGGGTGGCGCCCTCTGGTGGTGTGTGCATTCCGAGCTTACCTCAGGTCTACACCGAGGCTGCCTTTCGTGTAGCTTCCTTTTAAAGCTTCTTCTGGTTGCCTCAGTGGGAGAGCTAGCTCTTTAGTCTTTTGATTGTAATCTCAGAAGATCGTTTCTCTCTCTCTCTCTGCATAGTTACTTACAGGGAAGGGCCACAACCATGATAATTAATGTTTAATTAGAAAACTAAAACTTTAAAATATATCTTAGATGTTAACGTTTTGAATAATTGCAACTACTCCAGGTTACTTTGTAAAACATATTTGTTCAAAAATAAAATGGTATCCAAATAAAACCATATAAAAAATGAAGGAAAAAGAAAAACTATGGCTTTGCTCATTTTACTGTGGAATTGTGGGGGGTTGGAACTAAAGCTCTGGAACACTTTCCATGACGTTAAAATCCGTTGTCTGATTTGTTTCTATTTGGCAGCATCTGTTTTATTTAGGAATGTTTTCTTTATTAAAATGGAAACTACATGTTATTTTGTTAGCATGCTGGTTATTAATTCTAAGATTTGGAATATAAAAGATACCGTGATTGATTTATTTAGAATATCACTATTTTCCCTCTGTTAGTGTGACCAGTAGCCTGAGTCTTTGCTCTCTGACTCTATTGTGCATTAATATGCAACCCCTTTGTATTAGCCCTTTTGCTTTAAGTGAATGCTGGCTGGCTTGGTAAATGTGAGTAAGCAGGCCATTTCTCTGAAGGCATTTGTCTGGCATCACCGGGGAGATGAGGACACTATGGTATGCCCCCTCCAGTCTCTAGATTGTGACACCAATCCCAGATGAACCCATCACTTGTCTGCCAAATTGACAGTCCCTGGGCACCTGGAAAGACTCTCATACACAGAAGAGTCATCGGACAGTCAAGTGTCACTACTGCTTTTCAGTCTGGGGGTGTATTCCAGCGTGCATGCCTGCTATGCTTAGGGTCTGTGGTGAGGACACGCATAACCACCCTTCGCTTGTCTTCTGACGCTGTTCAAGCCACACCATTGCACCTGGATTAGCACCAGTTCTTGAGACAAATGAAAGAGCTTCTCACGCACTCTGCTGTCATTAGGCAAAGTGCTGGTGTGCCTTTTTACCGTTTTCCTCTTAGCCCCACTGGGGGGAAAATGGCTTTTCCTTCACCGATATAAGGGCTTGTTTTAAAAAATTATTTCATTGAGGGCTCATACAATTCCCATCACAGTCCATCCATACATCCATTGTGTCAAGCACATATGTACATTTGTTGCCCTCATCAATCTCAAAACACCTGCCTTCCACTTTAGCCCTTAATATCATTTGCTCATCCCCCCCCATGAACCCTTCATAATTCATAAATTATTATAGTTTTGTCAGTATAAGGGCATTTTTTGTTGTTTGAAATCACTTTTGATAAAATCTTTTCTTAATGTTTCCTACTAGCCATAATGTGGCTAATTGAATGTGGTTGCACCAGAGAGAGAATTAGAATATTTTCATTTAGGTCGGAGGAAACGGGTGGCTTTTCCCTGATGCTGTTTGATTCTGATGTGGAGTCAGAGAAGGCCTGTGCGTCCTGTGCCCTAGCCCGGGCTGGCCACATTCTCCTTGGACCCGCAAAAGCAAACAAGTCTAAAAGGATCCTCAGGCATAAGAACAGAACGGGGTGCAAACACCTATGTTTTTGCACACAAGGCAGTCAGTGATTGGTGCCTCTTAGACAGGTGTTTCTGAGAAGGTGCATTATCCCTGCACCCCTCAGCATATACTTGTTGAGTGCCTTCCTTCAGGGCTGCACACTCTGCACCTGATAATCCCATGGCCTTTAGCTCACAGACTGGGGGCCTTCAAAAAAATGTGTGCAGAAAGTACATTATCTTTGAAATCTATTTGTCCACACACCTTTTGAAGTCCCTCACCTATGGAGACCAGTGAGGGAGGAACCTGTCCATGCTTTAATATAGAGTACCATACATACTCAAGTATAAGCCGAGTTGTTTAGCACATTTTTAATGTAGTTTTTGTGGTAAAATTAGGTGGCTCGGTGGAGATTCGGGTCGGCTTATACTCAAGTATGTATGGTAAATGCTGAGCTTGGAACTTGGAACTGGACTGACTCCCAGGGGTGTACTGTTTCCCTAGGGAGGATCCCAAGTATGTGAGCTGTGAAGGTAAGTCAAAAAAAGTATTGCTCCAGAATCATAGAAATCTCTAAGAAACAAAGAAAGTAAAACTGGGCAGTACATTTCTCAGCACAGCCTCCATCCAGGCGTACACACTCCGGGAGGCAGTGTTTCCATCTCTTCTCCTTCCCTGAAGGACCTGTACCCTCTGGCCGCCCGCGTGTCAGCACGGCAGTCGTGCTCCTTTTCAGTGTTCTCCAAGTCATTCTGGGACAAAGAGGACGATGGGGGCAATGCCAGGTCTGTAGGGTGCATGGGGTCAGGTGTCCTAAAGAAATTCTCATAGGTCAGGTCTTGCTCCCCTCAAAGAGTGTGCAGGTTCATTGCTGTGATGGAAAAAAGTTGCTCTCATTGCAACTTTCCTGGCCTTTTCCTCACCAGTGCAGCGTCCAGTGTTCCTTAAAAGTTCTTCACCATGATTGTCCTGGGTCCTCTGAGACAGTCTATCAAAATGTCCCTTGTGGAATCCCCCAAATGGTCACCGGAACCTTCTGATCTGACCTCTCTGCCTTCAGTGTAATTGGTCCAGCAGCTCTCCTTGGAAACCTGTTTTGATTGAACATTTTTCTTACGGCACCCTAGCAAGACTAAGAGGGTTGTTGTACAGGGAGAACTTGTCTGTAGCCACACACTGTTAGAATATGCAGTTTAGACACATTTTGTTGGGAATAAGCATGAACTGGAGCCCCAGCAGGAGTACTTTTTTGACTTACTCTCATATTATCAGGATCATTAGCATGGTTGTTAAACACATGCATTTAGGGCACAGCGTTTCAGATCCGAAGGAACTGAGAAGAGCACTCACAGGCAGTTCCAGGAACTCAACAGAGACGTAGTGGAGAGGCAGCTCTGGGGTGCGTGCACAGGTGGGCGGCAGTTGTGTGCTGAGCAAGGGACATGGTTAGTTCTGACAGTGCGGTGGGATGAAGGTCTGGGAGGAAAAGGGCCTCTCTGGAAAGTTGTGAGAGAAAGAAGGTGCTGGAAAGGAGGGCTGCACCTCCACTGTTCAGCGAATGACCTCAGGGTCTTCTCACTTTCATATTTCAGTTGGATACAGGTTTCTTTGATTTTATAGCAATACGTTTTGACTCACCCTCGTCTACAGGCGCACCTCGTTTTATTGCACGTAGCTTCATCGCTGTGCAGACAATGTGCTTTTGATTTTTAAACAAATGGGAGGTTTGCAGCAGTCCTGTGCACAGAAAGGCTACTGGCTCCGTTTTTCCAAAGCAGGTGCTCACCTCATACCTGTGTGACCCGAGTCAACATCACTTTTCTGTGTACTGGGAAAGCAAACGGTGCATGTGCCTGGTTTTCCTGCTGGCTCTGAGCCTGTGATAGTCCCAATGTCTGCTGATAGGAAGAGGCTTCAAAAAGTTTGTGGGGAAATATCACTGGCTTGTGGTACAGGTAGCTTTTTAAATCCTCAAACGGCTTCGAGCCTTTCATTAAAGTCAGGCTGCCTAAGAACTATCTGCACCTGTTGCCACTCACCTACAGGTGCCACTTAAAGGCACACTCCGAGTGTATTGTTTTGAAACCCGGGATGACCCATTGCTTCAATTCTGGGAGGATTTTGTTGGGAACTGACACTAATGATATTGGTGATTTCTTTCCTGTGGTGTGCTGCAAAATGAATTAATCTTTTTCTTTATCTTGCAGAAAATGATGTTCATTATTATTTGTGTAATTGTTTTGCTTGTGATCCTTGGAATTATCCTAGCAACGACGTTGTCATAGCAGCCACATCCCAAGAGCTGTTCACCCTTGGTGACTCAGGCTACATCCGCAGCAAACCCACATCCTATCATTTCACGAGCGAGTCCTCAGCGTTGTGACGCACTCTGCCTGGGCTGCGATTCCTTTTCTGTTAGTGACCGCAAAGAGAACACACAGCCCGGGAAGCATTGGAGGCAGAGTGTCAGGGTTCAGTCGGTGCCCTTGGGCTCTGTAACACACCACCCAAATGTTTCAATGTGGAGCTGGCTTCAATGGCCTTACAATAAGGAATTACTGAAGATCTTAATTTTCACTTTCATACTTCAGTGTTAAAAATGTTCATGTGAAGTTTAATAAGGAGTACTTTCTATTATGAAACTATTGGGTGTCAAGTGTAAACCTTGACTCCCTCCCCTGCTCCCAGCAAGCAAGCTAATTAAGAGCCGTTTTGTGCTGTTTAATCCATGTTTCTTTCTTGTTTGCAAAGATGATCTCTGTCATCATCCCAAAAGCTGTTTTGTAAGATACTTATAGTCTTAAATGTTTACAAATTGTTTAATATATTACCATCTTAATTGACTGTTTTATATACTAAAAAATATATCTTTTGAATAAAATAGGAAATCTCATCATCCTAGAGCCATCTCTGTAGAGTTGTTTACCAGGCTTGCGTTTGCCATAAAAAAGTGCAGTGGTTGCAAAGCACCCCAAGGAAACTCTTCAAGTGCCTTCTGTTAATATGAGCCCCCCATACCTCCTAAACCCCCTCTCTGGTCCCTGCAGAGAAGTCTGGATATTGTACTGAGCTCCTTTGCTGCCTGCTTCATTGTCCAGGACAATAAATTGTCAGTTAGCACAGTAAAGACAATGGTCTCTTTTTTGTTCACTAAACAAATGAACAGGTTGGTGTTTTCCTGTTTATACCACTGGACTCTGAAATTAAGTCTGATGATGAAACCCAGATTTAGGACTCAAGGAACAGAGTCCTAGACATTAAGTAATTAAAAAAAAGTAAACTCTAGTTCACTTCAATAATCTTGTTATGTACCTGATAATTCTGATGTTCAAAAGTTAACTGGCAAAGGTTCTAGATGTTTCTGATAAGCATCTTGTTCTTATTGTTCGTTTTTTTTTTGGTAAAACAATATGATTTGTTTCCAGTCTGATAAAAATGTATGAAATCTTACCAGTGAGTGGATGTTTGTGAAGAGAGCAACTTGTTAGCATTTTAGTTGAATAGGTAATGGATATCCCAAACATATTCTGTGCCCTTGTAAATTACTATATATGCATTCAGCTGTATGTTAACATGGTTAGGTCTGAAAGCTAACCTCAGGGATATATGTATGCTTGGAAGTGTGGATAATAGCGAACGGTTTAGAGGTGTCCCTTCTGTGACAGCACCATGTTTTGCCACCCCCCTGAACCCCCCAGCCAAATTTAATGGCATCAGAGTCAAGCCTGTAGGCACATGTCTCATTTACTTGCTGGTTAACCCTGTGCACTCAGAACTTCTGTAGGAAGATGCCAGCTCACATATGTCTCATATTTTTAAAAGGCCTGTTAGGAATATGTTTAAGTTGACTATATATAACTTGTCTCGAAGGGTATTTAAGTATGTAGAGATCATGACTGTATTTCTGTAACGTTTATACATTTGCATAATTATGTCTACAAGTAGAAGGACTTCATGCGGTCAGCACCCCTCTGTACACGTCTGCTTTTTCTTCACGTTCAGTCTTAGCGAGATCCTAACTTTCTTAACAATTCTTAAATTATGGAAATGCTCTTTGGTTTCTCGATGATAAACAAGTCAGTTGTCAGATGCCACGTTTGTATGTCCAGACTCCATGTATCTCTTTGAAATCCAATTTAAAAAATAGTTGCAGATCCATTTGTTAGTTTCTCATTTTTTATGTTAATATTAAAAAACATTCCCTGAGAACTGAAAATCAAATGCTTTCTGGCTTGTCATTTCTGGAAAGACTTTTAGAGATGTTTAATTGTATATCCATTAATAAACTGTTCTAAGAAAATTACCTGTGCTTGTTATGGTGTATAGTAGTATAACTTAATAATTATAGGTGTTTTGGTAATTATGCTTCCATTGTCATTACACATTACAAGTACGTGCTGGCCATGTCTCAGATGTCAGCCACCAAGTATGAAGGAAGCCCCCTGAAGCCCTGCAATTTACACTCAAGGCTGATCCAGCCCCTTTGGGCGTCATCCGAAGACCACGGATTTTGACAGATTCTAGGGTGGCATTCATTTGAGGAGCCCCCCCCACCCCCATATTCTGGGTTTTCATCTTTTAATTTTCTTTATTAAATACAATGTTCTTAATCTCTTAGCCCTCACATAAGCCTAGCCATATTGGAAGGTGATGTTCCTAAACCAAAATTTAAGAACGTCTCGGAGAAAAGGGCGTCGGGCTGCTGACCCGCAGTGGGCTGGTGCCGGGAGCAGCTCTGTGCCACCAGGTTCGCGGAGGGAGATGCCCCACGTGCACGGGACCCCTCGTCCCAGATCTCTTCCACAATCCAACCCCACTCAGGATATGCGTCCAACGGCGTGGTGGGATGTTTCTGGAAAGAACGGAAAAACTGGCCAAGAGTCTCCCCTGAAGGGCGAAGTGTGGGAGATCTGCGGACCCCGGAGCGCGAGGCGGGAGCGTGGCCGCGCCCGAGGGACGCCGAGTGGCCGTGGAGCCGGAAGGGGAATGGGCGCCACGGGGAGAACTTCCGGGTCGCCAGGCGCTGGCCCCGGAAACGCGTGGAAAACTTGCGTCCGCGTTGAAGCCCACTATTTCCACGCACGTTTTAACGCCCTCCCCCCCACGGGTCTCCGGTGCTGTGGGAGCGCTGCGTCCCGGGCTCGACCCCAAACGCGGGTGGTTCCCCGTGCTCGAAGGGAGCTGACCCCTGACCTTTCCGCAGAGCGTCTCTTGGGTGAGTGGAACCCACCCGCTTGCTCCACCGGCCTCCGGCCATGGTGCTCGGACCAAGGGGCAGGGTCAGTGAGGCGCCGCACAGGGCTGAAGACAAAGACAATGCCCGCCCGCGGCCTCGTCGCAGACCGCTCCCGGTGAGTTCTAGAACGTCCCCTCAGACCGCTCCCGGTCATTTCTAGAACGTCCCCTCAGACCGCTCCCGGTCAGTTCTAGAATGTCCCCTCAGACCGCTCATGGCGAGTTCTAGAACGTCCCCGCAGACCGCTCATGGCGAGTTCTAGAACGTCCCCTCAGACCGCTCATGGCGAGTTCTAGAACGTCCCC